TTTTCTGTTTGACTTTCTGCCCCATTAGTTTCGCCCCTTGGATTGAACCTGCCTTTCCTGGCATGGGTGCCGCACACCACTTGGCTGTTTAGCTCCATTGATTTTATTCCCTGGCTTGACTCGATATTCTCAAAGCGTCCATGATTTCTGATCTGTTTCTCCAAACTCAGATACACTATTTTAGTTCTACTTGGTGATTTAAATGCCAAGTGCTGCTTTTGGAGGATATCAATAGTCAGAGGACCTGGATTTGAATCTTGTTTTAGACACTTATCAGATAGTGAAAGATAAATTAACTTAATCTTTCTAAACTTCTTTTTCCCTCATCTATAAAATGGGACTAATAATATCTGCTTCCTAGGGTGGCTGTGTAGATTAGTTGATACATACATTGGAGAATGCCTAAATGTTTAAGTGTTTGTCAACTTCCCGCACTCTTAACACCACACATTTGTGTGTACAATGTTGACAATATTTGGTGTTAGATTATTTCAGTCATAAGTGTGTTGAGAACAGCTAACATTTTCCACATAAATAAAGCATTCCTGCTCGTATTGAAAAGACCAGAAATACAGTCATGATTCAGAGTCTAGATATATATGTGTGTGTGTGCGTGTGTATGAGAGACTCTATCCTTATGAGAGGTGTTATGCAATGTGGGGTGGAAGGGACCTGAATGTCGTCTTAATGTCATCTTCAGATTTTCATGTATAGCTAAGATTCTTGAAATACTAACTATGTTATACTTTCCCCTTTGTTTTCTAGCATTCCATAGACATAGAAGACATTTAATCATTTCATGACCAAATACATCATCATTTCCAGTAAGACTATATTGGAGTTCTACCATCACCCATGCCTTTTTTCAAATCTCTGTTTCTCTCTTTGTTATTTTAACCTATACCTTTAGCTCATACCATATCTTAGAAATCCATATGCTTATAATCCATTGCCACCAGTAGCATTCCTTCCCTTTATAAATATAATTGTTATGGTTCAAGAACTACCTCCCCCCACCATCTAATACCAAAGATTGGTTAATTAAACCATATTAATTTTATCCACTCATGTAACATGATATATCATAATCATATGCTCTTATAATTCCAGTCTAATAAAAAGATTTATCATTATTTGAGAATGCCTCCCTCACACCTATCTCAAGTTATTCTAATATTTTAAATGTTGTTGTCTGAAACTCTCCAATATATGTTTCCTACATTAGCAATGAATTCTTTCTGTGGCTGTTTTCATCTGAAAATTTGTTTCTTTAGAGATGTTTATTGTTACTCCTGACCTGGAAAGACAGATAGTGAACAATAGTCTTAAAATGTGGATTGAGGCTGGATATATCTATGAAATGAGTGAGGCACAGTGTAGCTGCTCCATTTATTTTTGCAATCTTGACAATCGGTGCTGATGGCTATGTGGTCAGTTTTTTTGTGATGATGTTGCTACAGGCTCTTCTGGTCATCCTAGATAACTACTGCCTGAAGGGAGGTTATGATTGTAAAGTTTGGGAACCTTTCATGAGTCAGAAATATAAGGATACCTAGTTATTAGCATGCTTTCCATGCTACTTCTGACTGACACTGGAAAATATAGGGGACTATTCTAATTCCGAACTAGTTACTGGGTCGGGCTATGTCACTTACAAGCTGACAGCATCTGCTGGCAAAGCAAATAGCCGGCGGTTCACAGATTTATGAGGCATTGGTGAAAGGCAGAAGGAAGGAGAATGAGAGTAAAGGGTCTCGATGTGGAGCAAACTTCTATTGGGGTCAGAAGGTAGAGGACAACAGGGTCCACAGTAATAGAAGAATCTTATAACCATATTCCCTATAATAAAAAATGCAACACAGAAAAACTACCAAGTATTTCCAGGTAAGCATCATATGCTATTGATCTATGCTGAAGAAAGGGATGCCATATTTAACTCCTAGCTCAATAGAATTTGTTTCTCTTTCTTGGGGGGTGGGAAGGGCTACAAGGATGCATCTTTTATTCTATAATCTAAGTCATTATAAGAATGACTCTCTTTACAGAAGTAAAATTATAGAAAGTCATATTGGATTAAATCCGTTTCATAAAGAAAAAAGCTTATCAATAAAGATATCTTTTATAATTTGTTTTTAGTCAAAGAGTGAAATCACATTCAGGTCATATATGCCGAAACTTCTAAGTGTGGCTCAAATTTCTATATCCAGTAACTATGGGTAGATGTGTTCATAGTAACAGTGTCCCCATTGTGACTGAAATACCCTTCTGTTGTAAATACTTATTTACATATCAGATTCTTCCCCTGGGCTTTGACCTTCTTAAGGGCAGAGGTCATGTGTTGCCCAGATCAGTCCCTAGTCACTCAGTGTAGAACTTATCTTTGTAGAAATTTAATGAATATTTTCAGAATTGATTTGAATAATTGAGAAAGCCTATCCTTATACCCCAGATCCCTGCAGGAAATCACAAAAGTACATTCTCTGGAAATATACACCATCTCAGGCATCACTCTCCCTCAAGGTTAGCTTTGCAAAGGTTCTTCCAACCATCTACCAGGTGAAAATAGGTCCTTAAGTGGTATTTGAGGAGTCAGCACTTCTAAAACTCTCAACTACGTAAGAAAGTTAGATTTGGACTTCTCCAGTAATCTCAGAGAGGTAGCTTCCCCTAGAGGGAAGAACATTCCCTCAGGGAAGATACTTTTCTTTTTTATTGGCTATAATCCCCTGCCTGGCTAATCCGAGTAGCAGGGGTTTGAGCACTACTGTGCCACTCTGGTGAGGATGCACACAGTACTGCTGGCCAGAGGCCAAAAATGGGCCTATACACACAGAGCCTGGATACACTGCATGAGTCAGCAACATCTGTGGCTTTGCCTTCAGGTACATTAAAGGGCAAGGAATTAGAAGCTAACTCACCCAGAAAGACAGCCATAAGAAACACAAGCAAATAGTGCCATGGAGTTTCTGCATTTTCTTCCTTGAGATTTTCTCCCCAGAGTCTAGCCAATTGAAGACTCTAGTTAATTTCTTCTCAATTCTTTAGCAGCAAAACAATCTCAGTTTTAGTACATGGAGCACAATGGGGATTTAGTAGTCCAGGGAGTTGCTGAGTTCTCTGGAGAATGTGTCTATAACATAGATGTGGGAAAATTGATTTGAGCTATAATGCTGAAGCTTACAAGGCAATAAAACTGTGCATTTTATGCACAACATAAATACTGATTAATTGAAAATAAAGTTATTAATGTGATGCAGAAAATTATGTAATAATCACTATGGGAATTTGGATAAATGTCGATAAGTTTGAAATATGAGGCAAAGGAGTAAAAGCTGTCACATCCATGATATTTTATGCTCTGTTTTCTTACATTGGAATTGGAGATCATTAAATTTATTGCTCAAGTTGTTCAATGTTTACTCAACTCAAAGTTTTATTAATCTGATTAAACTTTGTGTTGTGAATAACCCAAATTCATCTATTATGTGAAATATAAGTAATTCCCAGAGTAATCAAGTATGACTGCTTATTTTAACCTGCATTTCACTACAGTATAGTTTATCTAAATTCATATGCAAACTACATAACATAATGCAAAGAAATTCAACTTAAACTCTCAACATCATCATTTATCAATATCAGCAGGATTAAAAATTATTTAATATAAAAACTTGAACATATCAAAGAGGAAAAACTAACATGCCATTTGGACCATAAGCTTACATAGCCCATAGTGTGATCAGTGCATCTCTTTCCCGGTAAACTTGGGGTTGGTTAGGAAAAGCTAGTATCTAGTTGCCATTGTCATTGTAGCAGAATTTATATTTAGATAGGGAATTTGTTGAAGAGGCCACTGAAGGGGGCTTACCAATGCCTCTGTTGGGGCACCATCACCTAGACTCCACTGACCAAGGTACTATTTAGTATGTACCTAGGATACCACAAGCTATATAAGACTCAAATATCAGAGAAAGTATGGCTATTTGGCCCTGCTTTTTGAGGAGTTTGAATTTGGTTTGAAAAGACTTGTGTGCATGGAAACTGCAGAGAGAACAATGTAAGAGAAACATACAGACAGAATAGAGACATTCGAGGAGCATTAGGAAAGGTGAGAGAAGCCTTAGTTTTGGCCTACATGAGGAGGGAAGCATTTGACTGACAGAGATAGAAGAGGTGCATGAGATAGGGTGTAGATTCAGAAAAAAGCTGAAGCAGAAGTAAGCACAGCATGCACTGAGAATTGAAGCCATGCCGGCCTACGTGAGAGTGAGGGCCTCTGGTGGTAAGAGAACTGGTGGAAAGAGACTGTCGGGTAGGGAGGTGGAATCAGGAAAAACTGAATACTATATTGAAGCACAGAGAACTTAAAGGACTTTCCCTGGCACATTACTAAAATGTGGCGGAGATGTAACCCTACTTTAAATACTATATTTAATGCTATCCTATTAACTCTAGGTTTAATGGAAGTCATCTGTGTGAGTTTTACATGGCAACAGTAAAGGGGTATTGACTCTGGACTCTGAACCACCCTGCTTCCACTGTTGTAGGGTTAACTTTCTGGGAGTTGTCCAGTAATATTATCTGAAATGGCCTAGACATACTCTAGCCAGCTGACTTCGAAACAATCAATTTGTACTTATAGTGAAATATTTTTATTTATTTCCCTTTTACTCTTTCTTGACTTTCATAGCTGAGATTCTATTGCTATGGTGGCTTTAATTTTCTAAATTACAAAACAGTGCATAAGTAAAACATGCCAGGCGATCCAAGTTCAGTGTGTTTTATGGCACAAATAATCCCATAGGATCGTTCTACAGCTGTCATGCAACTTCCCCTCCCCAAAATCTAATGTAAGGAAAATATAATTGCACCATTATCACGCTATAAGCTAATGCCAACATGGTCAAGTTGTCTATAGGTTGCCATAACAACCCCTCTAAGATAAAAATGAAACTGGTATTCACAATATATATTTACATAGAGTTTATTTTTTCTTCTAGGCTCTTCAATGGCCAACAAGGAATTATTATTCAAAATTTTAGCACAAGATCCATTCTCACTGTTACCAATGTGACACAGGAGCACTTCGGCAACTATACTTGTGTGGCTGCCAACAAGCTGGGCACGACCAATGCGAGCCTGCCTCTTAACCGTAAGTAACACAGTGCTGCCCACATGCTCCCAGGGGCATCTTGGCTCCTATATGCCATTAGAGATAAAACCTAAGAATGGAGAACTCAGGCTGATGTGACACATTACACACACACAGGAAACTTTGCTCCCAAATAATATGGGTGTTTGAGAATTTTGTAATTCCTGTAGAAGCCAACATCTATATAGAAAAGTATCTTACAGCTGAGAAAAGGGAAAAAAAAACATAAATAAAAGGGCTAACTGAAAAATGTCTTCTGACTAAAGACAATTGGTTTGATGGGATTTTGCTTCTCCTTTTTTTTTTTTTAATGAGTTATGTTATCTGGAAGCATACGTTAATATTGCTTGAATTTACTCTTGGTTGATTTTCTTTAGACATTTATCTTGGAATAGCCAGAGTTTCACATGCTTTAAATAAAATGAAACAGTAAATAAATGATCATGGACAAAATATTTTATCTATATAGATAATATTTTTACTCAAAACTGTATTTTGAAATACAACTTAAGGTTTTACTCAAACAAATATTACAATTCTAATGTACCTTAGTTCATAAGGACTAGAAATGAATAAAGAAGAGCAAACATAAGGACCAGTTAAAGCGAGGGAAACCTACACTAATATTTCCTCCTGTAGTTAATTGTAGAATTTTTTAGAAGCTAAGTAACCAACCAATTGTTATAGCCATAAAATATTCCTAATTTTGAAATCAAGTGTTTCCCAAAATGTTCAAAGATGACTATAGAGAGTGCACTGTCTTTTCAGTTCCACAAAGCTATATGAATTATCCTTATTTTATAATATTTTTATATTAACCTGACATGTGTATATTTATGTCATCATCCTGTGATAGAAAATATCCCCAAGAAATGCAAATATTGCATAGTTCATCACAGACATGTTCATCATTTCCATTTTGCAGAAAAAGGAATGGATATATGATATTCTTACTACACAAAAATGTACTGTAATAAGTTTCATAATTTATGAGTTTTCACTTACCATAATTTAAGAACCTCTGACATTGAGTAAAATATATCAGTTTCTTTCACATATTTTACTATTCCAGCTTGATATTCCTTAATATTTCTTTGCACTAAACTCTGAAAGAAAAACATGGTTTGCCTTGCAATGGCTATAGCATAATATGACTGATCAAGTTTCTTCCATGAGGATGATTTATTTAGTGTAATTATGAATACTATAAACCATGGAAAATATTATGGAACAGTGTGAATTCCAATTTAATGTAAATATTGATACTTCTCTGGTATATTATTAATATTTTAAATGGTTTAAATATTCAAAAGCCTGAAAGATTAAATGAATTAACAAAGCAAAGTAAAGAAAAATTTGAGGCCTAATAACATAGTTACTTTTTGTTATTTAAATTTCTAAGTTATACTCTGATTTTCAAAACTAGAGCACTAGTGAATGTGACAAATTAGGAAGAAATATCACTTGGTGAAATATTTGTTTTACTCTGTCAACCTCGATGTAATCATATGGAAATAATGCACTACTGAAAGTTTTCTAAACATGGAATCTTCACAATTATTTTCATGATCTCTCTCTGCCATTGAGTTCGTGCATGTTGAGGTGCTACTAAATATTAGTACAATTTGATTTATTTGCTAATAAAGACAAAATTTGGAAATTTTTTCTGTAATTAATAACATAGCCCTGAGAGTTTGAAGAAATGGTCATACATGCAGAACTCTTGTATGAGCTCATCTGAAGCTCTTATTAAACTAAGGTTTCTATTTTGTACTATAATTATTTTTATGTATTTTCATTTCTTCACCCAATTATAAGTTCTTTAAGAAGACAGGATAGATGTTTGATTAGTTATTTCATCTCTCATATCACCAAGTACAGTGCTATTTGGTAGGCAATTAGTAAATCTTTACTGAATAAATAAATTAATTAAGTAAGTGAATGAATGGATTAATGAATAAATGAGTGAGTGAACTATGTTTTAGCTATATAAAGTCTACTAGTAACTTCTAGAGCTATAAGGCAATATCACTGTAATTACGAATAACACTTCTTGTTAGCTTATTCTGGATCAGACTCTATGCTAATTTCTTGTATGAATTTGTTTATTTATTTCTCACACAATCCAACAAGTTAGATTCTATAATCCCCCTCTTACCAATAAGAAAACTTGGAAAGAGAATATAAGGCCAAAGGCAAATGGTTAGCAAGTGACACAGCGAAGATTTGAACCCTGACAGTGTGGCTTGAGAGCCCAAGCTTTCAACTACGGCCCTTCACTGCCTCTCACTCTGAACATAAAATCATCAATAGAGCGAGAGATAATCTGTATCATTTGCAATATATTTTTCGAAAGATAAATTTCTACATATATCTTAAACTTTCCCTCTTGTAGTTTTTATCAACTTTTATTTGATAATTAACATGATGTTCTTCAATGTATGAAAGCCCTTTTTAAAACTAAATGTTTAGGTATAAACAACAACAAACCAGATATCAAATTTGAATATATAAAAGGTGAATGGGGTTGATGTTTATCTAAAAATGTATTATTCAAAAATGAAATGTAAGAACATCTAAATACACATTTAATTATAACAGGATTTTTAAATCTCCTTGGTATAGTGCAATTATGCAACACAGGCATTGTGAATCTGCAAACTATGTATGAGAAAAGGCAGTTTTCTTAAAGTTTATAAGATGCTAACTAGAAAGAAGGCAATATGTCCCTCAAGAAGAACTCCTGTTGCATCTTCACAAAGTCTCTGAGTGGGATAATGCTCAACCTCTTAAAATTATCCAAGAATATAAACCAGTCCTAAGTAGATACAATATTGGTTTTTCACCTGCTAAAGAATTTTTTTAATCTGCTGCTGGAGGTCAGCCCTTTTATTGGTAAGGGAATGTGTAAAGCTAACTTGCCTATCTCCTTATTTTAGGAGAAAGGAAGTAGCCCTCAAAAGATCTGCCACCTGCATACATGGTGATATATGGTACATGTTTTAAATAAGAAAAATTTTATGCTTTCATTATTTGTATTCATTAATAGTTAATAAGCTCTAAAACAAGGGGATTGGAAATGTAGGTTACCTGGCGTAATGCTGATAAACAGCAAACATTGAAACTGCTTGATGATAACATTCCAACAGAGTTTTAGCCACTGGGAATCAGTTCCTCATACACACTATTTAGGATAAACCCTGAGACTATTATAATCTACTTCTTGTCTGCAATAATTCACATTTTTCAGATCACCAAAAACATAAAAGACAAACTATAGTTTAGATCTTTGCCATAACTAAGACTATCAAACCAAGGAAATATAGCACTTTGAGTTGTGTGAGTATGTGTGAGCGTGTGCATGTATGAATATGTGAGTATGCGTCTTTCACAGAATGGGAGTCAAGCTGGTCTTGGTTTGAATCCCAGTTTTACCAAATAGCAGTTGCATGTGACATTGCATAAGCTACCTAAATTCCAAATCCTCAGTTAACTCATTTATAAAATGAGGGCAATAATAATACCTCCTACTTCATAGGGTAGGAATTGAATGATGCATGTAACACACTTATCACTCAGCCTGGAACAAAGTAAGCATTCAATAAATGTAAGCCATTGTTATAGCATTACACCCCCCAAGAGCACTCAATTAAATTCATTTGAGAGAGCAGTATATAGATGACTGACTTTATTTGATGACTGGCTGCTCAGTACTTTACTGAGGGCGTACGTGGTAAACAGTCCCTAATGAGCCAGGGAAAGGGCATGCAGACTTAAAACGATGTCCCAAATCTAGCTCATAGTTTAACCTCCTTCCTTGCTCAGTGCATTAACAAGATTTTGTGACACTCGTTTCAGAGACATTGAGGAGATTCACAGAGTGAAGGCAGAAACAATATAGTAGTTCTATTTTGAGATAATTCATTCAATAGCAACATTCATTTGTCAAATATATATATTGACTTCCTACATTGTGCAAAGCACTGTGCTAGATGTTGGAAAGAGAAGGGTTATTATAACTGGAATCTCATCCTCAGAGTTCTCATGCGAGTGAGAGGAGAGGAACAAGAGAGCGTGCAACTGCAGTGCAGTATAGTCAATGGTACCATGCAGGGCAGAGAAAACACTCTTAATCCAGTCTCTAGGGGCATGAAAGGACTTTCATCTAGAGTAGCTAATAGCACTATTTGGACTACAGCTAAGGCACAACTCAAAACCCCATTTTATCCATCACAGTCTCATTGTCAGAGGCAGAAATTTGCAGGTGTTCATTCAATGACAATCATGAACACAAGGTAGATTGGCACAAATAAGAGAATGATCAACTCACCTCAAAGGCTCAGGATAAGCTATAGACGAGATGCCCCCTGAGCTAAGGGCAATTGAGTTGAGCCTGGGTGTGAGAATGGTGATGGAAGAGAGAAAGAGAGAAACATTGTGGTATGAAATAGCTTATGTAAACACATGGCTGTGGCTGGGTACAGTAGCTCATACCTATTGTAATCCCTGCGCTTCAGGAGGTTGAGGTGAGAGGATTGCTTGAGGTCAGAAATTCAAGACCAGTCTGGTCAACATAGCGAGACTCTGTCTCTACAAAAAAATATAAGAAAAATTAGTGGGGCATGTAGTCCCAGCTACTTGGGAGGTTGAGGCAGGAGGATTACTCAAGCCCAGGAATTAGAGGCTGTGGTAAGCTATGATCACAGCACTGCACTCCAGCCTGGAAGACAGAGTGAGACCCTGTCTCAAAAAAAAAAAAAAAGATATGGCAATATGAAACAATCTGATACCTTTGAAAATATTATCAATTTTAGTATCATTAGAGTAAAAGGTAGAAGGGGAGTATTGAGAGATTATACTAGACAAGTTGACAAGGATTAGGACAAGGATTGAAAATGAGTTTGACTTTTATCCTGACTTTGGAGAGCCATTGAAGGATTTTAACAAAGAAATGATATAAATATATTTGGTTCCCAAAATACTTTTTTTTTTTTTTTTGA